TTTGTTTGCCCTTTTTTGACATTTCAGACGTTTTGGCTTTTTGCCCGCTTAGAGATTCTTTCTCTTGTTGTCTGATGTTGTATTTGTCCAGTGTTGCATGCTTTGCGTGTGAGTTGAATTTTGTATTATTGTCTGGCAATTGCAGTCATAGTATTGAAGTTTGCCAGTATTTGTGTCATTGTCGAGACATATCTGTGGTACATGTGCTGGAGTATTAACGTAATTGAAGGTGAGTACATTCTCATACACAGTAAAATATGGAAATGCGTACAGGAGCTGCTGTTTCCGGTGAGACTCGTGATTCACCCAGTGTAGCAAATACTGGGACACCCACCCATGGTGCCCTGGACGTCAGTCAAGGTAGGGGAATAGCAATGAGGGGTCGCATTTTTCCTGTGTCAGCACCAGTAGGGCGACGCCAGATGTTGGGTAGAGGTCGTGGCGTTTTGCCATTGGATTTTGGTCGGGACTCCATCCCCAGTGACTGTGGTGAGCACCGACATGCTGGAGGCCCTATGGAGAATTGTTCTGTGAGACCAAACAATGAAAGCATGTACCGACAGCAAGGTGTTGTACGTGTAGAATTAAGTGATCAAGATGAGTGTGGATAGAACGTTGATTTGGAATTTGGTTCCCCTGAAGGCCATTCCCGATCAGGTATGTTACACACACTGCGCGTATCTTCCAGCGTGACCGAAACTGCCCACATTTTCGGGAGACAGTTCGTGGGCTAAATCGGATGCCGACTTTGAAACATGGTCGCAGAAAGTGCTTGTGTACAGTGATTCTGGAATCGAACCGCCATCGGTTGTAATCCAGACTGTTAGATCCATGTTGAGGGGCACTGCAAATAAACTTGTGATAAAAATTAGGCCAAACGCTTCAGTTGGTGATATATTAGAGATGTTAAGAATCCGCTTCGGAGAAGTGGAATCTGGCCGCGTTTTGCTCAACCGATTTTTTGCTGACAGTTGGCAGCGAGAAAACGAGTCTATTGGCGATTTTGCCACGCGTATCGAGCTAGCGTTGGAAACTGTAAGACGTCGTTGTGGTATGCGATCAGAGGAAATGGATGAGCTTCTAGCCAATCGTTTCTGGGATGGATTGAACGATGATGGAGTACGTGAAATAGCGCACCACCAGCGTTGGGATAGCATGCCGTTTGATCAGCAGCTGTCAGTTGTACGCAGTGCGGAGCAGGAAGTTCATGATCGGGCTGCCCGCAAGGACAAATTCAGGGTTAACTCTGAGACAAAGAAGACACCAGCTGCACGTGTACTGTAGTGCACTGTAGTGTCTGATCATGTGCAGAAGCAATCGACACCAGTAGATTTTTTGCCTACCTTGCAGAAGGCAATAACGCAGACAATGAAGCTTCAGCTAGATTCTGTTGCTGATCGCATGGACAGACTAGAGTCTAGACTGGATAAGTCTGAGAAGCTCCCGTGCAGCCGAGTGCAACACCAGCGCCCTCAGCGTCCTTGGCTACTGGTAAGCCTCGTGGATGTTTCAATTGTGGTGATGAAGGGCATAGGTTTCGTAGATGTCCACTGCGTCATGAACGAGACACTAGTAGAATGATCTGTTATCAGTGTGACAAACTAGGACATCCTGCCAGAGAGTGTCCAGACAGAAAAAAGATCAACCAAGACTCACCTGGAAAGAGTAATCAGAATACAGCAGCGGCATGTTGGGTACACTCGTAAATTTGGGAGAAAGTAGCAGTCATCGCCAAGAAAAGGTGATGGTAACCACGTTCTCATGATGCAGTCACCTGCGCTGGGCAGAGTGGTAGGATCAGCATGCGAGGCTACTGTGATGATGAATGGAATTAAAGCAAGATGTCTATTTGATACATAATCTCAGATAACTACAGTCAGTAAATGGTACTATAGAGAGCACCTGAGTGAGATTCCTATTGAACTCCTTGATGAAGACCTATCAATTTGAGGAGCAGGTGGCCAAGTTGTTCTGTTTTGGGGGTACCTAGTAGTCAGCATCACATTGCCTGCTGGTCTATTTGGTGAGAAGGAAGAGTATGATGTGCATGTATTGGTTGTCCCTGATACACGCTATGGTTCTGTGGTGCCAGTCACAATTGGTACAAACCTAATGGACCAGAAAATGTGTGCAGAGCAACCGCATGTATCCAACTGGCAGACGTGTGATTAAGCATTTGAGTGACTGCCATAAGTTTATTGGTAACACTGGTCACTTGGGCATGGTCAAGGCAGCAATTGACAGACCTCCTGCCATCTGACCAGAGCAAGATGCCATCATTATGGGTGACAAGTATGTAGTGGTGGTGGAACCGATAACGAATATGAGAATGCAAGTGACTGCTGTGCCATCAGTCACAGTGTAATGCATCTAATTCGAGACTGCCAGTTCATGTGTTTAACACTACCAACAAGAATGTGTATATCAGACCTGGTAGCATTGTTGGAGAAGTGACAGCTGTGACCCGTGTTCAGAGTGCTTCAATGGTCAAGGAAGAGATTGAGAGAGATGAGCACAGTGACAGAGATCCAAGTCATCAAGGGTGTGAAGTTTAATCTTTTGGAATCTCCCATTGGTGGATCACAGATCAAAACGGTGCATCGTTTCTTTCAGCGTAACATTGATGCCTTCTCCTTGCATAACAATGACCTTGGGCGTTGTGACCTTGTGCAGCATCGTATAAGACTTAATGATAAAACACCAAGCCGTGAGCGTCACCGCAGAGTACCTCCTGCCAAATATGCGTTACGAGCGATCATCAAGGGCATGTTGGATAGTGGCGTGGTATGCGAGTCTGACAGCCCATGGGCTGCACCAGTGGTCATGGTCACAAAACGTGATGGAACCACAAGGCTATGTATTGATTACAGACGATTGAATGCCAAGACTGTCCGTGATGCTTATGCAATTCCTCGCATCAAAGAAAGTCAGAAGGCCTTGAGGAATGCAGAGTGGTTTAGCACGATTGACCTCAAGAGTGGCTATTGGCAAGTGGCCATGAGTGAACAGGATGTTTCTTAAACAGCATTTGTAATGCCTGTCGGCCATTTTGAGTGTCTCCGTCTTCCAATGGGGCTATGCAACAGTGCAAGGTCATTTCAAAGACCCATGGAGAAGTGCCTGGGCGAATTAGTTAATCAGTCATGCATTGTTTACCAGGATGATGTGATCGTGTATTCCAAGACATTCAACGACCATATCAGACACCTGGGTGAGGTGTTGAGGCGACTAAAAGGTGCAGACCTGAAGGTTAAAGCCGAGAAGTGTGAATTTTTCCGCCAGGAAGTTCACTTTTTAGGCCATATCGTGTCAAAGAAGGAGTTCGCACAGACCCAGTGAAGACTGAGGCGCTGTGTAACTGGTCCATACCTCGTGTGAAGGAGGTGAAGACATTCCTGGGGATGGCAAGCTATTATCGTCGTTATGTGGAAGGGTTCTCAAAAATTGCCAAGCCGCTGAATGATTTTATCGAATTGTATCACTTCATATGGACAAAAAGAGCCTCATCAGCAAGTCGTACTATGATAGGAAGGCCAGGCAGTCTGAACTTGTACAGTGAGGACAAATTTATGCTACCCCTCTGTCAACTTCGGATCCCAAATATTGGTCCGATAGCCTGTATTTGGTTACCTGGCGACAAGTGGATGAGGGCGGGACATAAACAATTTAATTCAGTGAATACTTTCCAATGACATAATAACACTGTAGCATATCTTACAAATTATATATAATATAATATGCTTCTTCAGTCTCAATATCTAATTCAAACATGCTGTATCATTGATTGTTCACAACTTTACAAAAACATCCCACTCCAGAACCGATTAGGTAAACATCTCATATGCATATGCCATTGCCTGCATTGTCTTGCAAAATTATAATTGCTGTAGCTATTTCATGACTGTGATATAATAAGGGACGACGTCAAAAGATCGATGTCGGATAAAAAAACTTATTTGCTTTAGTTTTTGTTATTAATGAAGTCAAAAAAATCTTGAAGTATTTGTAGTTCGTTTTTTTTTCTATCCAATCATGGACAAAAATAACAGAAAATGAAAAAAAAAACATCCAAGACTAGAAAATGGTTAGGTCCGAGTATAAATATATGTGCGTCAAATGAGGTCAATTTCAGGGCATGGTCTTAGAGCATGTGCATTTGTCTTTTTACACCCACCAGACAACCAACTGCTATGCCATACTACTCTCCGATTATCAATTATCAGTATTTAATGGTGAATGTAGTCTGACGCCATGATCAATATTTATCAATTAAGTTTCAGTGGGGGGAGGGACTAAAGGATTAAGTTTTTTATCCTACATTGAACTTTTGATGTTGTCCCCAAAGATAAATTACATCGTTGCGCGTTACCTTAGCTTGACAGCCTGCCACTAATCTCCCAGCTGATCCGGCAACAATCGTATCATTCAAACCATAAGATGTTACAAACCCACTAGTCTCTGTCATTCCATATACTAAAAGATATATAACAAATGAATTCTTCAATAACCAAAAGATGTCACTAACACGCCATGTATTTATTATTAATTGAATCGCTCAATAAACAATAACGTGGATAAAACATTGGTAGTCAAGAACATTCGGTATGTTTTGTTTTCGACCTAGAAGAATTGCCCATTTTAAAGCGGGGGAGGGTCATCACCTGCGCACGCGCGGGAATTGAGTTCCAAGCGACGATAACAACACAGGCTTAACACGCAAAGGCTAACGCGTAGACGCTTGTTTGTAAACAATGACACGCTATGGTCATCTGACGCATGCGCAGGTGACGACTTCATCGCTTTAAACAACTGGTTATTAACGCGCCTATTTTTGACGGCACGCATTATTTAAATTATTTCGGACGTTCCTTAACGTTGTGTAGTTGCATAACGAATCAATACTAAAGTGTCATGCTGCTTAATATGGAAGTCCCTACCTTGGCGTACAGTGAGCTCATCGTTATTCAGCCTTCTCTTCAGTGATTTCACGTGTCCCAATCCCAGCGGTGCAGCGCCACATACGATATCGTCTACGCTTGAAAGGTTATATTTATCCACCATTGGGTGCTTGATCAAAAACACAGCAAGAGGTGGAGCCACGAACAATTGACTAACCTGGAACGATAAGAAATGATTGTATTATAACGTATTTAAGATTAAGACAGCGCAGCTAATTCTTCTACTCACCTGGAATGGACCTCACAGATGTCCGATTATATTCACTAATAATATTAGACTCTGGTCCACGTCAAATACATGTGCATTTAATTGCATTAATGGCAAGCTGGCATAAGACTCTTGAATATTGACTGTCGCATTTATTCACGTTTTGCGCGCTTGTGCAGTGACTGGTTTGCAGGAACCGGTCGTTTACGTTCGAAGATAAGATACAACGTTGTTCGTTATTGCTGATATAAAATATATATGTATATGTCTCTGTTAATAAAACAACATTCTGGTAACGTTGTCACATCAGCTCAGACCACGAGCTATCGCTATATTTATTATTATCAGACGCATACTGGTTGGCGGAAATGTAAACATATGACGTCACGGTGAGTTCATCTGCCACATTTTCAGGATGCGAACATTGTAAGAACAATGAAAACCACTCAGGCGTGGACATGTATACCGCGGTCGTGCATGGATTTGTATAGTATATTTCATTTAAAAATGCGCACGATCTTACGGTTTTCATGTCGAAATGCGGCCATGATTGTTGTCAAAATATTTACAGATGTGTGTAGAGGTAGATTTTTAGTTGAAACCCTGATACTCCATAGACTTGACATATTATCTTGAGTTGGATATTATGTGACAGTACCTTGTGCTTCTCGGCTAGACGTAGAAACACTTCTGGCTGAAACTTGGGCAGCAGAACAGTTGTGTTCCCTTGTTTCAAACCCAGGAGTATGTGCGTATGCATGCCAGATAAATGATATAATGGTAGTACACAAATAATATCGGACTTCTTGAGAACAGATGTAGATATCCTAATCATAAATAACAAAAAAAATAGATTGAACTATTACAAAAACTAAAATGAAATATATCGTGTGAGCAAGATGGACTTTTGATGCAATATCAGAATTTTCTAGAAGAATGGCAGTAGACTGTCGATTTTAAAGATAAATTTACACGCCGAACTTGTATATAAAAGAACCAAACCCATCATCTTGATTTATATCATTACATAGACTGTCGACATTCCTAATTTGTTAGTGTGCTAAATCAGCAAACGTCGAAGAAGATTGCAAGGAATGGGTCAGGCATTTCAGCATTTACACTTGTAAACGCCCTCGCGCGACATTACATGGTTTTCCACCGGTACTGAACGGAGAATGATTGACAGCTCATGCAACGTCACGAAACAATCAGCCAATCACAGATTCGCTGGACACGGCATTGCGCAATTTACATTGTATTCAATTCGACGATGACCGGCAAAATATGATACACAGCAGTGATAATAATTACGGGTTGACGTTTACAAAGTTGGTCTCCGGTTTAAAACTCTAAAAAATATCTTTTAGTCACAAACACAAAAGAATAGCGAAAAAAACACATGGCTCCGTGAACTTTATTTTGTTGACCTCTAAACAGGAAGTGAGCCGAGCCAAGCTCCGTCTATTATTATAACTGAGTGAAGTCATTCGCTTGCTTGCATAATTAATATACAGAAAACTATGCAACAGTGAACAGTCCTCATGCCGCCTTCGCTGAAGTACCTGCGTAATTTCTTGCAAAACGTTTGCTGATTTAAATTACATGTAGTATACTAACAAATTAGGCCTAGGGCTGTAGACAATCTAATCATTGCACTGAACTTGCCATTCAGTTTAAATCATGTTGAAATACATACTTCTAAGAACAGATTTCAATGTGTAACATGATTCAATAATTGTACATACCCGATCTCACAACTAGCAATGAGGTTCTGGTGGGTCAGCATAACTCCCTTTGGTCGTCCAGTAGTGCCACTAGAATATGGTAATACAGCCACGTCTTCTACTGGGTTTATTTTTATATCCTTAGGAAATGCAGATCCATCATCTGTCATTAAGTCTGCAAATGGCAAACAACCCTCAACATTGCCATCACCAAGTATATAGGTATGCTGTAAACAGAAATATGTGTAAACGTTATTCAGATAGCAAAAATAAAAGCATTTAATTATTTACAATATTATTGATCATCTTTTCTATAGCAAATGACAAATTGCGATCACTGTGTCACACAATATTTATTTTGATGGTGCAGATAAGACTATACATGCATGATCCCCATATATTAGAAAGTCAAGAAACACAAAACAAACAAATTACAAATGCACTTCACTAGAAAGTGTGTATGCCATAAGTCTTCAATATTGTAAGTAATATTTCACGTACACTCACCTTAATATTATACAGGTTGGAACTTTTGATGTTGTCGACTACATCCGGAAGTGTAACAATCCACTTTGCGTCTGACATTATCAGTTGATGCACTAACTCGACTGACCAAAATAAAAACAATTTAGAGAATTCCAACAGACAATATTCAGAGTAAGTGACAGTTATGCTATCACGCGAAATTTATTATTTCAAAAGATTGGCGTTATTTAATAATAAGTTAAGAAAATAGTTTTGTAAAATATCATATAACATAATATATGAACAATTGCGGCTTCAACGATTAATCTATTACAATGGCGGAAACAACTTACTAGAGGTGTGTGATGGATTTATGGTTGTAACAATTCCTCCAATGGATATCACCGCATAAAACGGTATACAATATTCTGACATGTTCGGTAAATACAGGGCACATACGTCGCCTTGTTGAAACCCAGCTCTAGATAATCCACTCCCACATCTGTGGATTAAATCTTTCAATTGTCTGTATGTATACGACTTGTTAGTTAACCCGTCAATCTGTGAAACAAATATATTTGAAATTGAACAACGATTTTGTGATTTTTTTTGTTGAATTAAAGATTATCGACGAGAACTAGTATTTTTCGATTAAGCTCAAGATAAGCGTGCATACATTCTGTATTCCAATTTACTGAAACAACAAATGGAGGGCTATAACAGGTATGTCTTTAAAATTTACAACAAACATAATTGCTTTGTAGTGTATCCTTCTTTAATTATCTGCCAGGTGCAAAAGATATATTGCTTGTTACGTTATTACCACTTTTCTATACTTTCCTATACTAGTTGCTCCTCTGAAGACAAAGCGCTACTATAACGTAAATATGGAATTGTATTACATTTTAATGAACATATTATAGTCATTTGGAAATTAAAACTTGCAATGAAAGGCGAGGTATGCAAACACTAAAATTGTAGAGTGCAACCAAGTCGGAAAAAAGCACAATCAAGACCAAGAAAAAATGATACTTTGTATCAGTTTGTTATCTCACCACAGCAACCTTGTCTCCATAGTGATCAAAGTTTGACATCACATAATCAGAAATAGACATATTTGATGGGATTTCTAGATCCGGGTATTTACTTGTAATTATACCTGCGAAATATTAAAACACAATTTTGTTTAAACAAATTATTCCGGCATGATTAGAGATGTGTAGAAACTCAAACATTTTCTTCCATAGCTTCCTAACCGTTAAAGCTACATTGTCAGTCTGAACTATGGTGCTACAATTGAAAGGAGTGTAACTTGTTATCCAAGCGCTCTCTTGGTAACGGGTGATGGTGGGACAGAATCAAAATTAATTTCATTGGGACTGACAGGATTTCTGTCATTACGTCCCATGTATAAGTACTCAGATTATAATATTAGGCATATAGCTAATTATCTTATCGTTAAAGCGGAGGAGTCGTCACCTGCGCATGCGTCAGATGGCCATAGCGTGTCATTGTTTACAAACAAGCGTCTACCCATGATCCTTTGCGTTTTTAGCGTGTGTTGTTAGCGTCGCTTGGGACTCCCGCGCGTGCACAGGTGACGACCATCGCGCTTTAAAAACTATCGTCGTCATTGTAAGTTTGTATTGAATGTATTTGTTCATATATTTATAAGCAGTAGCAATTTTACAGATTACTCACCGCCACCGTCATTGGAGGACGAACAATTGAATGCTCTCAACATCGCAGACATTCGTCTTTGTGACTTGGACGTACTTACTGCCATGTTTATTTATCTGTTTGAAGTACCTGTATTTATCAAATCATATCCACTGCATTACGTAATCGTCGTTATTTATGATGTAATACAATAACACTTCTGTACTCATACAAAGATACGTAATTGTTTTTAATTTGATTACTGACTTATACCAGAGCAAGAAAAGTAAAATTGAAAGACTATGAGATAGGAAGCAGCCTTATTTGCTGAACTGTGGCTGATTTACATAAATACAAAAGGTATATTGCACTTTCTCTCATTTGTACTATCTGACATGTGATACGTATCTAGCCAATCGAAGTACCCTTACCGAAATCAATAATCAGTAGAGGTTGTACCTGCAGTGGCTCATGTTGTAGGTTAGAAACCTCCTTTAGCAAAATTTGTCAATAGCTGAGGAAGAACTTTGTCTCCTATCGTAATAACTCAAAAGTTTTCACTTTGACTAGGATGCAATAATGGTATGCTCCTTTGATAAAAAATTAATTATATTTCAAACCCCTCTATTTATGAAATAAATTGGTAGGTTCTAGAACTACTCGATCTTTTTTTCTTTAAAGTTGGGTAGGTAGGGCCACCACAAATGCAGAATAGTTTTTTTTCTTTAGCGTTATTACTAAGTACTATATGGAATTTCGTGCTTTGTTATGGAAAAGGAAAGTATATTTTCAGTATGACCACCAGGCCATTCTGAGTTAAATCGGCAAAAGCTGTGATTTTGAACTTTGTCTTTTGCTGAAATATAAGTGCATAAAGTTTGGGTGGGTTAATATGGAGAAAGTACGTTCTCTACCGAACAAGGATATGGTACATTAATAAGGTTATTACTTAATTCCACAATGCATAAAGCATGGCGTGTTGAAGGGTTTGTTGAACTTGATAGTATGTTTTCCTATGGTGGCTAGCCATGTTGAGTTAATATACAGTAACCGCTGTTTTTATAGGCGGTTGTACAAATACACACGACGTTGTATTATTATTTACGATCAACATTATCATCATATATTACGGGAATTACTAGTATATAAATACACTGTTTACTAATTGTATTGAGTAGTGGCCATTTTGCAGTGCTTTAACCTTGAGACACGTGCCTTGTCGCTCTGTCACTCCTCGGAGTTTTATTGAAGAGTTTGTAAGATTATGAAAGGGAAATAGAAGGGGCAGCGAGGCGTTACCTCAGCTGACTGTTCAAATGTTATCAGGAGTAACCTTTAACCTTGTTACCGCAATGACATACACACGTACGCACGACGCTGTAGTATAATTTAAGATCAACAACTTTCCTGTCTAAATGAAAACATTAAAATCATATTTTACAGGAATTGTATACATACATCGTCTACTAACTGTAGTTAGTACTAGAGATTTCTCAACTTTGAGACATATCCCTGACCACGTGATCACGTCAACGGCTGCAGCGATTGGCTGGCTAGTCGCATGTTTACAGTGTCACCCCTTAGAGTTTTTTTGTAGAGTTGTGTATGATTGTGTAAGAGAAATAGAAGGGGCAGCGAGGCGTTACTTCAGCTGACCGTTGGGATGAATAAAGCTGGACTGACTATATGCAACGAACTAATGTGTATTCATTTGGGTCGAACCTTGTATCTCTACAGTTACAGAGATATCTGTCAAGCGAGTCGATGTAATCGGAACCAGTCACCTGTAAACTGTAACCTGCGTTCTGTACCTGCCATGCAACGCATATTTGTTGTAATAGGTTTATTTTTGCAATGCTACACAAACACCATGTAGTTCTATATTCAGTATGAGCAAATAGCCATTTTTCGATTCGTGTTTGCACTGCAAGAATAAATACATATGCTCACTGATCACCGTTTATCGAAAAAAGCACGATTTTTATCGAAAGGGTGCTTATTTAATACTTCAGTGTATTTGCATTCGGCCTTATGAAATCCGGAAATATTGAAAACTCCGTTGCAAAACACTTCACTTTAGTGCACAGCACTACTCGTGCTAGCTGACTCGACGTCAGTTTGTCGCCGTGACTCGCGGTGACGTGGCTATCAGGGTCGCGCCGATTGTCGGCAAAATGCATCAAAAATAAATCACAGTATCAAGCTACATATTCACATATAACAGCATAACAATGAACGATACAACGCTAGAAAACGTCTACTTACTTGAATCACGACAAATAAAGTGAGGTCACGACAAACTGGGTGACTAGGTTAAAGGTCCAAATCAGTAGCCAGACGCTTGTTTATTGGAGGTGTGGCTATTTAAATGATTGTCGTTTGCACAGTGTATGTTCACAAACCCTCTCGTAGTTGCTTTACAAGCTGATAGCAGCTATGAAAGACATATAGACTTGCATACAGTCTCTTGCCTTTTTTAATTTTTTTAAATATTATATTAATATTGACCCAGACGAAAGAGGGCGTCTACAAGGATTCCAATTTGTTGTTTCTTTTGCAGTCTACCCGGCTTTCGAGTTAGCTCGGTTTTCTTCATTTATACACTCAAATTTATATTTTATCTCATTGAAAAAAATTGAGACGGTGCTTTACATCGTGCAAATTGCTAGAAAGCGACAGGTTAATTTGCATTCATCGCCTGCTGTCATCGTAGAGATCGTATGATCTTGGTTATATTAGTACTAGTGTGGTCGAGTCTTATTTCAGTTCTATTTACCCATCGTACGCTGTGTTATTTTCGGAATATGCTCTACATCACCACATACACACATTCGAACAACACTAAACACAGTGAACAACAATGAAGTCGTCGACATAATGCTGCGACCACAAGCTGATACGGAATCTTTATAAATCTTTTCCCTCAAACTGAGTTATATCAGCAGTTTTCATTGGTTTAAAATAGAATTTATATTATTTACTATATATGCCATATTTCTAAAAATAAAGGTTCATTTACTGTTAAATTTAAACTATCCTCAGGGCGGACATCCGTGCATTTTCACCGCCTGGCAACCCTCGCGGTGAAAACAAAGGCCAAAAACTGGCAGAAAACGGTACTTTGGGATGATTGTTGAGACTCCTCTGAACAGTGTGACAAGATTAGCCCTATGTGTGTAACATATATAAATTTGGTTGTTCAGGATTACTTCAAAGTTGAGTTTGTTTTGTTTTGAGTTTGTTGTTTCCTCGAATTTTCACCGGTTCGACCGGCGTTCTACAGCAGCGCGCACAGAGCCCATAGAAATGCATGTACAGTGGTGCGCATCGTAGCAACGTGGAACGTCTTGTGACGTAGCTCCAAAAAAGTCATTCCTAACTTGCGTTACTTGCCTTCTTTTTAGTCATTCGAACATTAACATTAACACGTTTACAAGACGTTTGAATGAACTGATTACTCTTCGAATAGATTATGCATCATTACCCATCATCACGAAAACACATTTGGTAATCGCAGTGTATACGGTTAACTGTTTCTAACACTGCTATTCTTTTATAAGTCTGAAGTACTAACAGCTGCAGGTTCCAAGACTGGACCATGTTTTATTCGTCGATCGCATTGGAGGAACGTATATCTTCATCAGATTTTATAATTCTTAAGGCAGTGGCTGTTACTTGTCACTCCTTTCCGATAGTGGTTGGGTTATTTGCAGTAAAAGCTTGTTTTCTCTACAAGTATGTAAATATATGTACAACGTGAAAGAGTAGGTATTATGTCACATGTTAATAATATGCTAACGTGACATGAACGTAGCGACGTCACAAAAGAACATCAAACTGTTACATAACATGACTATGTTACAATGGCGACCGGACACAGTTACATTCAACAAACCACAGTGTGTCCTGTTGTCTAGTCCAGCATCGCTGACCAATAATAAGTTCAAAACACCGCATTTTCACATTATCATATTTAAAGTTGCGCAGTACAAAATAAGCCCAAACTACAAAAACAAGACATAACTGAAGATACTTGAAGATCACTTTTCACTATGAGGCAGAAGATGAATGAAAGAATGAATGAATGATAAATGAATAATTTAGGCATTGATTTTGATAACTACCTGACTTGTCTACTTTTGTTGCATATGTTATTAACATTTTTTTTAAAAAGTATTTGCCAAAACATTATTATTTTCGATTTGTAGGCAGCTTCGGTGGAATTGTTTTAAATGTATGTAATTGTAACGTGATATTACCCCCAGTAATATGCATACACATATTTCCGTAAAACTAATTTCGTAAAAACGTTTGTATACACGACTATGCTATCATTAGGATGAGAACAGTTTTGGTGGTGGAAGTTGGGTAGTTGAAGTTGAGCATCCTTAGCAAGTTGAACCAAATATTTTCCTGTGGGTGTTTTGTGTATTATACTACAAAACAATGCGTCTATAAATTATATAGTACTACAACCAACCAAATTGTTTTTTATATTCTGATAGTGTCAAACATGACTTTTTCCACATGATACATTTAATTCACTTTTTTTGGTGAATATTTAACAGATGCATTAGCTCGGTGAATGAAATACATGGCCTATATATACAATGATTTGAGTTATATTAGATTTGTTCAATAACAGTTTTGGCGATTATCTTGTTTTTTTCTTAATGCTATTTTGTTGTTTTATCTTAAAAACTAACATCCTTATGGATTTGACATTTCTTATTTCAGTCGGAATTGAACAATATTGGTGATGTTGGAGAGAAATCAGTCCTTGGCAATCAGAACCAGACTACTTTACTGTGTGTATACCGTTTTGAATTGTACATGTATTACGTGCGTGTCTTTGATCACTGGTTTCAGATTTATTCATTTCATGATGATAAATTGTATGTGTATATTGTTGACGTATTCTTGAAAAGGTTTCTTTAGAAATTCTGCGTATGTACTACTATATTTCTCTGCACAGTGAATGAGTCAGAAAATATATACTCCATAGGTAAGATAGGTACACTCCAGTGTATGGTCGTACATTCTGGTAGTTGACCGAATGAATTCGAGATTAAATAATGAAGCAGAATGTGTCGTATCTTCAATCCGAAAATAATTTGAACATAACCG